CTGCGCCGCTAGGTCCGAGAAGCAGGAAATTGCTCAACGGCGGGGACGCAACGGACCGGTAGAAGATGAAATGCAATAGAACAGGCAGTCCAAAAGCGATGAGAGCCGTGACTGCAATAGCGACGAGATTACCATCCAAAAGGCTGGTGAAAATCCGCTCAGCCAGACCCCAGTCTCCGTGGTCTGACATCTCTTCTTATGGATGCTTATTTAAGAGGAATAGTATCAACGATGATTGTTTGAGGAAACAATACTCAAACCATTAAAATCATAAGGAAAAGTATCAGGTCAAATGCGCACCATCTTCCACATTGAGCAAGTTTCGAGCTATGTGTATTGCAGAATGGTCGGATCTCCGGCTTGTTGCCAACAACAGTGGGTTCTTTTGAGTAATCATGGCGCCACCACATCTCTATTGGACTTGATGCCTTAGCTGTTAGGTATCGGCAATGAACGGTTTCTTATCGATTAGAGCCTTATCGATAAGACGACTGGCATGTATCAGAACTATATACCTCTACAAGGGGTCACAGATAGTCACATATCTCTGGCATGCAGGGATGGGGGTTGCCTCTTGTTTATTGATTTGGCCACTGAGTTTAGACCTTGCTTAGATCTCTAGCTATCCAGCTGCTTTTAGATTATTGTGTACTGAATGAGAGCTACATCCTCAATATGAATATTCTACAGTCCCTCTCCATCTTACTGCTACTCCCATGTACATTAGCCGACGTTGACTTCACCGTGCCGACCATTGGCACGAATTTCAAGGCTGGCGATGTTGTTACAGCACATTGGCGCGAGTCAGGCCAGTCTCCACGAATTTCGGAACTGTCACGATATGATCTTTACCTCTACGCAGGAGGAGACACAGCTGATACCCAGGTAAGTTGCTGGGCATTACAATCAGTTCAGGAGTTCCTATTAACGGAAAGAGGGGCAAATAGCATGAAGTAGCTGTTCTGATCAAAGACGGGCTCTTCGCTCGTGGGAATTCGGTTTCCATCAAGATCGATCCTACTGTCGGAGGCAATGAAGCCAACGCATAGTAAGACCTCGGGCTTTTCTTGCTTGTTTAAAGTCACTGCATTTTCCGTCCTGCACTAACACATTTTAACAACATGCAGTTTCTTGAAGATGATTGCATCTGGTCCTGAGGCGTTTGCTATCAATTTCTCAAATCGCTTCACACTCAACAACATGACTGGGTCGTTTCCACCCTACCTCGTGGAAGAGATTCGTTCTCTCTCAGATCCTGACGGATCCGCTGTCAAAGAAGATCTACGAAAGAGAGTGGTTGGAGCAGCTTACACTGTACCCTACCCTTTGCAGAGCGGTTTAACAAGGTACGCTCCAATGGCCAAGGAACCTGGGAGCACTATCCCTGCGAAGACGAAGGCTCCAGCGCCGCAGTTCTCAGCAAGTCTTTACACAATCGCAACGACTTGGCTTCCTCGCGCGACAGTGCAAGCTACACTTTCTGCAACTGTGACGTACTCTGTTGTCAGTGTTGAGAACACAGTAAGGGGATGATCGCATGGCCTTTACAATAAACGTGCTTCTTCTAACAGACACTTTCCCTAGGCGTCCCCTGCACCGCATCCCCACAATACCGCAATGAAAAGATTACTGGAAAGATGGAAGGACTGATAAAAGCAAAATTGAAGAAGAAGACATGATATCAAAACATCTTGAGCGCATTCAAGTCACAGATGCCAGCGGCTCTGCCTCCTATCGGCCACTTTAGCGGTGTTAAATCTCCTTCTATTTCCGGTCTATAATAAAATCAATCTAAAATTGATAAACACAATCACATTCCGTCATTCGTCCACTTCATCTTGATGGTTGCTGAATGTCGCTCAAAATGCAATTTCCAACGTAAGAACACAAAGGTATCACTGCGATATGTGCAAAAGAAGAAATCATTCGAATCATGTCGACTCGATTTATATACCATTTCGCGTAAGACGTCTTGTCATTGGCCGAAATCGTTCGAAGGTTGCGAAGTGCTATTGGCGTGGGGAATCGTCTGGCCGAAAAAAGGATATATTCTCCCGAAGAGCAACGTATTCGCTATCAGCGTACCCGAGCAAGGATTGAATGTGTGTGCTTCTATGACCCTTTATGCGTGCAATCTCAGCGCTACCGTAATTGACCAGTGCGCGGCCAACCTCCTTGGGTTCCTGCCCGTGGTGGAGGAAGTCTCCGTTGAGGGAGTCGGGCGAGAGCCGCTCAACAACAACTAGTCGCACGGCTTCCTGTTGACCAAAGTAGCCATCTACACCGACGACGCCTGCTGGTAGGAGACTGGCTTTGTTTAGAAGAGCGCTATATGCGCCATGGTCGATGTACAAACTACCATGTGGCTTGAGACCATGCAGCAGCCAGAATGATCGGGATTGAATTGGCGTGTCTGAAGGCAGAAAACGCGTATGTAGAGGTGGCGACAGCGGTGATTGCGAATCCGATGGCGTTCCTTCTACTGTTGAAGATTGCCCCGGAATGCCTCGTTGCGTCTGCTGGAGATACTTCACGATCTCCAGAACATTGCCCGGTTTGGAGCTCTTGGTAATTACCGTCGTCACTCCAGCACTGGTTGCTAATTTTGCAGCTACAATCTTTGTGCTCATTCCACCAGTTCCGAGAGATGAACCAGCAGACGACACGTCAGCTTCCAGAGCGGAGATGTCGGAAACCACCTCGATGGGCTTAGCATCCGGGTTGTGACGAGGGTTCGAGGTATATAGGCAGTCGACATCTGTCATCAGAAAGAGGTAATCGGCCTTCACCATGGCCGCCGTAATGGCCGATAAAGTGTCATTATCACCGAATTTAATTTCCTTGTGGATTTCGTTAGATCAATGGATCATTTATGAGACAGAGGGATGCTTACAGAAACCGCCAGCGTATCATTCTCGTTGACGATGGGGATGACTCCCATATCGAACAGCTGAGCAAAAGTGTTTTGGGCATTGATGTATTGTGTCCTCTAAAGCGAAATTAGATATCTTGAGTTCAGCAATTGCAGTGAATAAGTCCTCACATCCGCAATGTCATTCCTGGTTAAGAGGATCTGCGCTACCGGAAGTCGAAGGTGTGAAAATAAACCGTCCCACAGGCTCATGAGTCTGCATTGTCCGACAGCTGCTAGCGCCTGAAAAATGCAAACGGTCAGAACCTTTACCCTTGCGGGACTTGAGAACGTTGGCTTATACCTGTATGCGAGGAAGATATTTGGGTCTCTCGCCCACATCCATCCTCCGCAAACCAACGCCAACAGCGCCAGAAGAAACGAGGACTACGTTGTGGCCATCCTTATGCAGCTTGGCGGCTGTCTCGACGATTAAGGTCAAGATCGAGAGAATGGGCTCATGAGTATTCTCATCAACTATGGAGCTCGTCCCTATTCAGCTGGTGAGTCAGTCATTCTCAAACAAACATATAGCATCATCCCAGAAAAAGAGAAAAAACAGATCCCCGCACCTAGTTTTATTACAATGGTGAGACGCTGCGACGGCATTGTTACGACTATTTATTGGAGGTTTTCAGAGGCAATTAGGAACACCCACGACCCAGAAAGTCAACAATTCAACAGATCATTCTTGGGCCTGAAATCCTGATGACTCGTTTCATCTTTAATAAACTCTCAGACAATCCGATTGCGGACCATTTGTTTTGCCGCCCGTCACCGCATATGCGGAGAGCCCTGACGAATCTTCTTCCTTCCACGCTCAAGTAGATCCACTGGTGGATAACGGATCTCTGATACAGCTTCGAAAGTAGCAACTTGGCTTGAGAAATGTCAGATTCGCAACCTGGCTCAACTTCTCCTACCGGCGGCAAGTCCGACAGTGGATATATTCCTGGAGATGATACATGGACCCAATGGCGCAATATATTTGCTATCTTGACGGGAAAGATGACAGATGAGGGAAAGGAACAGTTCCGGATCGCACGAGATATCCGCAATGAAGCCGCAGATTGCAAGCGCTGTGAAGATCAAAGAGACTACCTATTACAGTACAGTGAGTTCTGAACTGCTCGAAGTTTTCGTGATTACTTCACACAGAATTGCTGTCCATATTCATCCACTTGTCATCAGCTCCTCAGAACCCGGTCTGGAAACCGTCTGACAAACATATGCTTGTTCAGGCCCGATCATACGTTTTTTGAGCGATAATATTCGACAACTAGGGGGCGATCTTTCCAGTCACAATATCTATTGCCGCCGCTGTACGAGCAGAAAGGCTGGGGGCTTTGATCCAGAATATGGCATCTTGCTTTGCGCGAACGAGATGAAGGACCAAGGGCATCTGGAGGACACAATGGCACATGAGATGGTTCATGCATATGACCACCTAAGATTCAAGGTGGACTGGACGGATAATCTGAGGCATGCAGCTTGCACAGAGGTATTGAACTCTCTCGCCAGACCCAGGCCAGCATTAACTGACTTATTGCAGATCCGAGCAAGCTCGCTTAGTGGTGAGTGCAGGTGGGCACGAGAATTCTTCAGACGTGGTCAGTGGAAGTTCACGCAACAACATCAGGAGTGTGTAAGAAGAAGGGCCGTCTTGTCAGTAAGAGCTAGACCTGGGTGCAAGGATGAAGCCCATGCGGAGAAAGTGGTCAATGAGGTTTGGGACAGCTGTTTCAGAGACACGCGGCCCTTCGATGAGATTTACCGTTGAGACTTATGGTTTTCTTATGAAGATACGTCAAGCCTACCCTGCCTGTCTGATTTCGTGCATGAAATCTGCAATTTGCAATGTATTATACTCAAGTTCCGGATGCTACAATAGAAGATACCAGATGACGCCGAGCTAAGAGCCGTGTTGGTTCAGATCTGAGAGGAAAACTGGAAAAAAAAAGAAAAGAAAAACGAAAAGAAAAAAGAAAAGCACAAAGCACCTCCAACTCCATACACACAGGCTGAATGGACTGACTCGCAAGGAAAGGAGGTACAACACCCCAACTCCAGAAATGCATGGGTCTTACCATCATGCTTTAACTTCCTTTGAAGAACCAGAACTCCGTTTCGTGACCCGGTCATCCTTCAAGCAATGTTTAAGGATCCAGGGATGTCGCTGGATCTCATCAAGGGAAATACGCTTGTCTGGGTCTAGAACGAGCAACTGTTGGAATGTTAGCAAGTGTACTTGCCTCGAGCGGTAGGGTTGGCATACTCTCTTGATAAGATCTTTTGCCTCAGGACTGACAAATGAAGGCACCGTCATGTCTGCCCTCGCAATTCGTCTTTGCGTCATGACGGGAGTGTCTTCAAAGGGCGCTTCCCCAACCAAGAATTCGTAAGTCAATACGCCCAAGCTCCATAAGTCAACCTTTTCGCTGTAGTAATTGTCTTGTGAGTTGGGCTTGAGCATTTCGGGAGGAAGATAGTCCAGTGTCCCACACATCGTCTGCCTTCTGTTATTAGGCGCATGGACACTCCACCCAAAGTCACTGATCTTGATTTCCCCGTGGATTCCCACAAGTATGTTCTCCGGTTTGATGTCGCGATGCATGACGTGCTTCTTATGCAAGTACTTCAATGCGGCAGCCATCTGGGCAATATATTGAGCTGCCTTCCACTCGGGAAAGCGATGCTCCTTTCGGAGGTGCTTGTATAACTCTCCTCGGCCGGCGAACTCCAGGATCAAAAATATCCGCTTGCTATCATGGAAGTGGCCGTAAAGTCTGAGAACATTGGGATGACGTAGGTTGCTCTGTATCTCAATCTCGCGTCTAACTTGCTTCTGCACTCCGCCCTGCTGCAGCTCGGATTTGTGCAGGACTTTAAGGGCACAAACGAAGCCGGACGATCGCTCTTTGGCCAGGTAAACCCTACCAAATTTTCCCTTTCCCAAGGGCTTGCCGATCTCAAACATTCCCAGATGTAATTTCTTGGGGCCCGGCTGCTCGTATAATGGTGTTGTGTGTCGCGGTTCTCCATTCTCATCTGTGTCACGGTGCGGCAATGTGCTCTGAGCTCCCTTGAGAGGGGACGAGCCGGCATGCATCGCATTCACTTTGTTCTCATTTGTGTTTTGCAAGGCAAGCTTCAACAAGGTTGACCGACTTGAGCCAGTGTTAAACTGACCAGCGGCTCCGAGGCCTGAGAGGGACACCGCTGTTGACAAAGAGCCCTGGCGAGCCGGATTAGCAGGCTGTTCCCCTCTCCCCAAAGACCATTGCAAGAGGTTTACCTTGTGCTTTGGGTATGTTCTGCCATTCTTCCCAGGATCAGCATCATCTTTGACAGAGAGGTGCTCAAAACGAGCCTCTAGCGCCTTGGTAGCCATGAGAATCTTGGGACGAGAATTATCAATTGCTTTGGGAAGAGGAGAAGCAAGAAAGACCGTGCGATTCAGAGGAGCTCTATCGGTTTATGCAATCATAATTGAACTGATAATGGAGGATTCGGAGTGTCAAATGATAAATAGTAGTCGGGAGTCCTTTGAGAAAGAGAAGAGGAACATCCAAAGATCCACTTGTTTATCTAGTTATGCTCCTTTGACACATCACCACAGCAACGGATCGGACCGCCTCTTTCTCCGACACCGCGGGGTATCTATTATTGGCGACGAGGTTGAATATATATCGTTCGACTTAGCGGCATGTTTAAATGGATGACAGAAATATACACCCCTTGTAAGCGGATACTGAGGTGCTGATTTGCAGGCGCTCAACATTCAAACTTCAATCTCTGGTACTTGAAAGAACCCAGATAATGGCCCCAGCAGGCTCCGCATCCGCTATGAATGCCTCCGCAGTTCCGCCAGAGCTTCAGAGGCCCAATGTTATCTCGGTGAAAGGATTCAGAATAATCACTCAGAAGCTACCTATTTTGAAAGCCGAGCCAATTGAGGAGATGACGAAAAGGTTGGGTATTGCGCCACCGGAGATGATCTTCGGCGATAACTATGTCACCATCGAATCTGAAAAGAAGGATTGGGGCATTACTTTCAATGCGTTTGATGCGCTGGATCGTGTAGACAAGACGGGCACCTCTATGCTCAGAGTCGCGCATTCAAAAGAATGGCAGAAGAGCAGGTAAGCCAGCTCCGTATGGTGCGGCCGGCCCTCATCGACCTAACACGAAACAGGGAGAAGGCCCATGAAGGTATCAAGGACGTTGTTAAACCGTTTGATTGGTCCTACACCACAGATTATATGGGCACTATCCATTCCAACAGTCGGCCTTTTGAGACAACGACGAAGCCCATACCTATCGAGTTACTGAAGCGCCCAGATCCGATACTGTTCTTTGATGAGGTCATCCTATATGAAGATGAACTGGCTGACAACGGCATTGCTATGCTGTCCTGCAAGATTCGCGTAATGCCAGACAGACTTCTCCTACTCTCAAGGTTTTTCATGAGGCTCGATAACGTACTCTTCCGGCTTCGAGATACCAGATTATACGTCGACTTCGAGAGTAAGGAGGTCATTCGAGAATATCAATCTAGGGAATGTGATTACGAAACAGTCCGCCAGGTATTGCGCTCTAAATAACTCATCTGCCCCCATGAGAGATCAGTCTATTGATTCTATTTTCACAGTCTCTAGCGACGACGAGAGACGATGTCCCGGCAATCATGAGAGACCCAAACAGGCTCTCTGAGATTCTCCCCCTCATAGAAAAGCGCTTGGAAAAAGTGAATCTGGATGCATAGCACAAAACACTATAGAACCTGTGCAACTAGCTGTTGGCCACCGTGACAGGATGATTAAGTCCGTCGACATCACTTCGCGCTCCCTCGAACTCCTGAGCCATAGTAACGGCTCATCCACCGTCTCCCATAAGAGACTCGCAACCAGTTAAAGGTACCTGAACCCCTGCCTTCAACAAAAACAGACAACTTGCGAAGTGTCTTTACTGTTGATCATTACAAATTCAAAGGCGGGCTTTGTATGTCATCGTAGCCACGAATGATCCAGACTAGCTGGCGGGGAATTCTATTGGGTCTATCTGCGTTGGTGAGATAGTCAATCGTGAGCAAACAGTGCAAACAGAGCTTCCGCGCTCCAAGCATCATCAGTCTCTACTCAGAACGAGCTTCATCGCGACGCATATAAGCCCACCATTGAGCGATTTATATTGGCCGACTTTTTCGATCAAAAATGCCTTCCAAAGGTTTGAATCTGACTTGGGTCCGAGCACTACGCAAATCGGAGTGTCCACAATCTCAAGTATGCAGCAGCACAATTATCCCAAGTCGACTGAAAAATTGCCTGACTGACCATGGAACGAACTGTAGGTGTATGCACTCAACCTCCCCGTAATTTCGCCCCCTAGTCATCGACGATCGTTATACATATCTGCGCCTTTCACATCGCAACCTGTATCTCCAGGCCTTGTGTCCTTGCGCTCTCCGGCCCATCCGAACCGCAATGCCCGTTTGGTCCAGCAGACTTTGGGTTCAGTTCCAAACTGGCGGGCCTCTTCACGACTATCAAGGGCTATAATGCCTCGTCCTGGAACGGCTGCGGAAACATATGTCGCGTACGGCATGACACAGAAATTATTTGAGGTTTGTTCTAGTCAAGCCGACTACAGCATTCCTCAATTATCCCAGAAAGGGGCTCAAGTTCCCAAAACTGAAGCCGGGGAGGACCTCGGAGTTGGGGAGGGGTGGTGGTACGAAGGTATGTACTGGATTTGAAAGTCTAGTGCGCTTGTTTCCTATCACAGCCGCGGAGGGCTGACTTAAGTACGTGCAGATTTGGGATTGGTTCCAACCTTCTCGACTTGGTCGCAGGTTACGTTTCTGCACATGTACCTTCTCACCGTCCGATTGCGCGCTTTGCCGTCACATGAAAGCCTGCAAACGTACTCCCGGCACTTGATAGACCACTTCTCACATAATGCGGAGCATCGCATGGATGTTCTTCATGGTCTGACAAGTCGCGCTATCCGGAACAAGTTTCTCAAAGATCTTTTTATTCAATGGCGAGGCGTCCTTGCTGCATACGACGAAGGCCTGGTGAAAGGTGACGCCGTGCTAGGAGCTGCTGTGTGGAGAAATCTCTGGAAGGCAAGCCACACCGGGCCGCAGGGTGAAGATATGGATTGGACTAAGGTGGCACGGGTTGTTGCATATATGCGCCGCGTTATATCGGAACTCTCCCAAATTAATGAGGCCGATCTAATTCTACATATCGGCTCCAGGCCCGGTGGAAAGCCCGGCATCTTTGGTTATTCGGAATTGGATAAGCAGTTAGTCGATGGGAAGCGATGACCATGTAAATCAGACCTCCATGTACTCGTTCCAATGCAAACCAGGACTATGCACATCCTGAGTCTTAACGCTGACCATTCTTGCTAACTCAAGAACATACACTGTTCTCCATCGTCTATTTTATAAAAAGTCGTGATGTACTCATATCAGTCTCTTCAGCTGTTCTGCCCCAGCACCAGTTCGGTTGTTGATGGCCGAAGAAGTTAGGTACGGCCATGCTGATTTTGCAAAAGTCACGCTCGCCAGACGTTTTGAGCTAAATTCCGTGCCTCCCCTGAGTCGAGTGACTGAAATTACTAGATGAAGGAGAACATGCGTAAAGTGACCAGCGTTACACCTCGCTTTATTCGTCTTTCTTACCGAAAAGGTCCTTTTCAACCATGGCACGGCAAATAGGATGATAGAAATCCCTATGCTTTTCAAACGTCTCAATTGCACGCTTACGGTCAAATTTTGCCAATTTCCGATACCTGCACCCAAGATTAGCTTCAGGACAACTTGCTCGAAAGTAGCATCTGTAGAAATAGCTTACAAGGGTCGCACAAATTTCATTCGACCAATCTTGCCGAGTAGATCCGCTGTCGGTTCAAGCACACTTGCATCGCCTGCCTGCAGACCCACTTGGAAGTACAGGTTGGCCACCTCGATATTCTGGCTCCCGGCAAGTCCATATATTTTACCCATCAGCTTAGACAATTCAGGGGTGAGCTGACGCTCGGACACGAGAATCTGTTCCAAGAAAACCACGACTTGATTCGCGGTCAAACCTTGGATATCCTCTGGCTGAGGTTTGAAGGAAGAGTCAGGCAAAGATAGCCACTTTTTAGCTAGATCATAGACAACATCAACAAGCGACGTGTCGAAATCTGGCTTCGGAGGCAGACCAGGGGCATAGAACCATCTGTCCCAGTCAAGCTCGTTGAGTGCTGTCGAGGCTTCCGAATCATCCTTGAAGAAATCCAAGATTGTGCTCTTGAATTCATAGGAGTCAAGTGATTTGCCCTTGTATTTATTGAAGTACTGAACATGGTTAGCGGAATGCCCTTATCAAGGCAGGCCTGTCAACATACGTGAGGGATGAATAGATCAAACTTGCTCTTTCCAACCAGATTCTCCAGGTGGAACAGAAAGTTGAACCCCTTCTCGTACGGAATGCTTGAGAATGCGTCATCCGGGTCCTTGCCCTTCAGGTCAGTGATAAGTTTGGTGAAGTCATGCTCATGGCCGAAATGCTCTACAGAGTCTGTGAGAGCCTTCCACCCAATGATGGCCGAGAAATGACGATAAGGCTCGCCGTGGCTATAGCCGTTAGTGACGAGGAGCCAGAACGCTCGGCAGAAGAATACTCACACTGCAGCTACGATCTTCGTGCGGTTAGCAACAATCAGTACTTCTACCCTCTAGAATGCCAAGGAAGGAGACTTACCCGCCTCTCGAGGTAAGTAGTCCAGCCTTCATTCAACCAGAAATGCTCCCAAGAGGCATTGGTGACAAGGTTACCGCTCCAGCTATGCGCAAGCTCATGAGCAATAACGTCGATATTTTCCCGATCCTGCGCAGTAGATTAGAACTGCCAAAGCGCTTCCGAAGTAAATAGAGAGTCAATGCAATACCTTTGAGATAATACTGGGGGTAGCGAATGTAAAGATAGGATTTTCCATTCCCCCGTACGGAAAACTCGGGGGCAGAATCAATACATTATATTCTCCCCAGACGTAAGGGTAAACAATTTTCTGTGCGCAAGTCAGTCAAATATCTAATTTCGCCCGGTCATTCAGACACACCTCGATTGCATTGATGAATTTCTCCGTATCTGCTTCGAGCTCCCATTGACATTCGCTGAGCTTGTCGGGACTAGTCGCCACGACGCTACGCGGTCCGATTGGGGCTTCAGATATATCACTTAAGGCTTTATGTCAGGTGAAACTCGCTGAGTGGTTCCAAGGAGCGGCAAAATCGTAAAGGAAGAGCGGAACAAGTGAGCTGGGTTGGGGGNGGGGGGGAGCGGAGGAAAGGACTCACCCGCTAGCTAACGCAAAAAGATAACTAGGAATTGGGACCTTCTGGTGGAACTTGTATAAGGTCTTACCATCGGCCTTCGGAGCCTCAGATGAGCTCCGAACGGGAAGTCCGCTGGCAATCACCGGAAGAGGCGAAGTGATGTTGAAGTCCAGCGTACACTTGACATCCGGCGTATCTTGACAGGGAAAGATGGACCGGGCGTGTATAGCCTGGCACTGAGAAACTGAAAAGAGTTCCTGTCAACATCTGTTCGTTCCTCTGCTAGGCTCATGTGCTACATCCAGGATTCTTGCGTAGTTCGTTTAAATCTTTTTTCAGGAAAAGTCCGCCCATGGAGCGATTTGACTTACACATATAAGGGTGCTTCTTATTCGATGTCTGAGCAGGTGTCAGCCATTGAAGAGCAGTACACTTCTCAGTGGTTCTGACTGATATCTAGGACTCATTAGACCGGGACATACATCGCCTAAGAATGGGATTACGGCAACATACGTCGACCTCAATAATTTCGTTGAGCTTCACACCTTGATCGAGCTTGATCTTCAGAGGGGTGCCGTATGGTTCCAGCCGAGGAAGAAACTCCCACTCGGATGGCTGTCCGTTGACTTTCACACCACCAATATCAAGATGGTTGGTGTCCAGGATGATATGATTGGACTCGCCATGGGTGGTAGAACGGAACAGATGGACCACATTTCCAGCAAGCTTTCTCTGATCAAAAAGGATGTCGAAATTTGCGGTAATATGAGTAGACACCCAATTATTGTAATTGCTCAGGGTATTTGGATCCCTGGGGGGGTTGACAACGGCTGCCATGTTGCGTCTTTGGCTGAGAGAAAACCGTACAATCCACCTGGGTTGAACGTCAGAGATGAACGTTGGCCTTAAACCAGTGTAGATATAGCTTCGAGAGAAGCTTAGCTGCCGAAGCTGAAAGCGAGGCACACCAATCATAAAGGATTCCCTGGGTTCTTATGGATACCTTACCTGAACCGATCAAGTGACAGTGGACATTTGAGGGGAGGTTATATCCGGACGCGGCCACATGCGGAAGGTGGAAAAATTTCATGTATTCCCGTTACGTACAGCAATATCCATGGAAAAGATAGAGAGATAGAAGGGAATTGAAAAAGATGAGGTAAGGTAGAAATAGATAGCAAACTGCGTCTTTGAATCTGTCTCTCTATGATTTCCTCACCTCTCGATGTCTTTGGAGAGTAATCCTGGCAGGTATCTGATGATTCCATACCTATGTGTACACACTCAATACTTTATCATTCACAAATAACGAGTGTCGTTTCTCGTAGCTATGCTATATTATTATTATTGTTAAGGACTTTGTAGCTACGCCATGCATCACTGTACTTGCCTTAGTACCTCTTTCTGTGTGCTGCCTAAGGTAGCTCAGGTGTTCGTTGCAGCAGCACGCCGGTCGAGGTGAAACAGACATATCAGTCAAACGCGTGTCAACCAAAGTCCTTAAGTTCTCAAGTCTCATCCATTATCTACATTCAGTCGGTCTAATTAACTAGTGAATATTTGTAGAAGTCAGGTCAGCACAAATGCATCGCGTAACTCGTTACCTAGTTAGATAAGTCCTGGCATGCTTAGGTAATAATAGACAGGTTCCATTCAAAGCTCGGGGTAGAGGTATTCTGTACGCTTTACCTACATGCAATCTATATGTACAATCGAGCTCCCCAGAACATGATCTAGCTGTCAATATTTTTAAATCTATCGTCAATTAACACTCACTGTGTAACTATATGTTCTTTTCAACTTGATGCCCTTTGTTCTTCCCTAATATATATCAGTTCTTGATTTGAACCTCATTACTACCCTCGCTTCATGAAGTAGCTCCAATGGATACACCCCAAGTTCAAGTAGGCGCGCCGGAGGTCGCTCAGGCTCCTGAGATCACCCTAAACACTGTTACTCCTGACGTGGATATGAATGAGACTCAGCAAGGTGTGATGAATGAATCCCAAGCAGATGCGACACAACAGGATATTTCTCTGCGTGACGCGCAGCCAGCCAGTTCAGCACCAACAGAAGCGCCGCAACCTCCCAAGACGACGCCAGGCCTTCATTTTCTCGAGTAAGCTCATATCTTCGGGAAGCTTCAATAATGCAAACCCAAGCCGCACACGCACGGCTCACATCACTTAGCTACCTGACGTCGCCCATTGTGGAACTCGTCGTCGGGAAGAACGAGCACAAGACTTCCTTAACAGCGCATCAGAGCTTGTTGTTGGAATCGCCATTCCTTGCGCAGGCTGTCGCCGCATTCAGCGAATCAGGTCCGGTACGCGCTAGCTTCCTCCTGAGCAGTATTCTGGATGCTTTTACTAATACAATATCTGGCATGCAGCGGCGTATTGAGCTTCCGGATGAGAACGTCGAGGCATTCGGTTGCTTCCTGCAATTCCAATATACCCATGATTACTCCGCATCCCCCGCCGATCTATCCGCAGATCAAGACGCTGTAGGGGAACTGGATGATAGTGGTGAGCTATTGTTGAAGCATGCGCGTGTCTACACTCTAGCAGAGAAGCTTGGCGTGCCTGCACTCAAGAGTCTGGCACACTCAAAGATCCACCGTATCAACAGTACCTCTCAAGGAGAAATCGCGTACGCCCGTTATGTCTACACACACACCCCGGTCGACGATGTCACTATTCGGAAGCCCGTTGCCTCCTTCTGGGCCACCAGAAGCCATGTGCTGCGCCACGAGGCTGAAGATGACTTCAAGAAGCTGTGTCTTGAAGTGCCTGAGTTCTGCTTTGATGTACTCAGTCTTGTTCTTGACCAAAAAGAGAAGCGTGTCCAGGATCGAGCAGAGACAGAATCGGGCATTAAAGGCAGTGGTAGGAAACGTCTCAGGAGCGGTATCTAGATGGCATCCCCTCTTGAGGCGACCTATTGAATATCCTACGTTATCTGTTGTCCTGTATTTTGGCGAGTGTATCTGCATGTGT